AATGAAGATATGAACGTTTTAAAAATGTGAATTTCTTAACATGTGGCTTAAGAATTGACTTTGTCGTAGCACGAGTTGATGGGGATGGGACTTTTCTCTCTTATTATTCAATAAATCACTCTTCATTGGTGTGTATAACTTTTCTTATTAACTTAAATAATACCTCTAATCATATTTCACTCTTAATAGATTCTCGGGACTATCAAAATGATTAAAATGTGATAGCTGGCAGGATCTGAACAGGCGTAGGGACAAAGACGAGCATAGGTACATTTACCTTAAATTAAAATTTTGAATTATTACATAAAATCTACTTTTGCATTGGATTAAACATTTTACATTTCCGAATCATGAAAACAATATTAGGAACAATAACACCAATCAAATGAAATTCTTAAGAATATCCAAGTACTTTGGCTACTTTGTCTCCAGACAAAATGCCTGTCTACTTGTGCAGCCTAACATCAAAGCGTTCATTTGAGCCCCATTTGACCCGAAGTTGCCGGACATTATACAATTATTTCATTATTAAAAATTTCCAGGTCTGAATTTGAATCTCGATATTGAACCGTTGGAAAATATTTTTTAAATCTGAAAAAAAAAAAAAGAAAGTTTACTTTGGAAGGAAGATTGATGAAATAATTAAAAAATTGCAATTTTTGTAACTTACGAAGATGAAAAAATAATAATTCTGGGCAAAATCTAATTTGAACGACGCTGAATATTAATGATTTTTTTCTGATTTTTCTCACATAATTTAAGTGACAAATTTGATGATTGAAAATGGTTGAATCTATAATGTGGTCTGTACCAAACTGTAAAAGATAGTTGGATATCCTTAAGCTTGTGAATTATTGTATATAATTCTGAATCATCACCAGTACCAAAATCAATTACAATGCACGTTTCAACATCAGAACGCTCCGATAATATTTCTCTCACTACAAAAGCTACGAAAAACTCTCCAACCATAGTTGAAAAACTCCAAATGATAAGTTTTCTCCTTGAAGCCTTTTTTCAACTCCCACTACACTCTTGAAGTGCCCAACCGAGATAACTCGAGTACAAATCCCCCAACTAATCTTGTTTCGGCGATTCACTCCAGACCTAATCACTAATTCAGTAGTGAAGTAAAACAAGATTAGTCGGTTTACCTTCGAGGTCAGTTTTTGAAGAATATCCCAACATTGAAGGAAAGTAATGAAATTTTTAGAGTGACGTTGCTGTTAGCTTTCAGGTTTCTCTATGAAGGAAATCTTCACAGAAACACCAATCCTTTCATTCAATTTCATAATATTAGGAAAGACTAACTTCGAAAGGATTTTTCTCCTTTTTTGTCATCTTTTCGCTGGTCTATGAAAATAAAGCTGGATGATTTCATTTTAAAACATCCATTAAAACAAGTGGAGAATGGCATTTTTTAAATCAATGAGTATAAGGTAAATAGTCCTACGCTCGTCTAGCTAAGGCGAACACATCATTAATTCAATATTTCTATCAAAATGAGTGTAAAGATGTGATGTTTTAAATTAGATATCATAGGGTAAAACCTTCAGGATTAGAATTCACTAATATTAATCATGATAATTACAATTTTTTAATAAATAATCGTCCATAAATGTGGAAAGTCCCCTGTCCCTACGCTCGCTCACTTGTCCCCATGCACGTTTGACCGTCAATCTGAAGATAATGTTATGTGAAACGTCTCATTTTGGAGGGTTTTTCATGTTCTTTGAGTGTGCCAAAGGGCGATTTGATAGCTTCAAACCCCGCAGAAATATTGAGGTCAGTTTGGAAAAAAAAATGTTATGTCATTAGGCCCGAAAACTACGATCTATCTGACTCATATGATTATGGTCCTCGCATTCAGCTTGAAGATTGTCTTCCGAGCCGAAGGCGAGGATGGCAAGCACGTGGGGGAGGGTGATGTTTTCCATGGCGATGTGTGTATATTAATTTTCGTGTCGAGGGACCTGAAAAACGCCAATTTCATGGCACGCAGCGCTCTGCTTTCCAAGGCTCAGGCATGTAATGTACTATTATCGCCTGATGACACAATGTACTATTTTTGGACAAAAATTGGCCATTGTCAAAAAATCATAACTGCCTCAATTATCAATACTTTTCAATTTTTATTATTTCAAAATTTTTGTGTAATCGCCGTCTTTTCAGAAAAAAATTGAGGCAGAAAAAAATTTTTGGTCTGTTGATTTAGCGTAAATCTGCTCATATGCGGTTTGAAAGAGAAAGTCGGGTTTTTCATGATTATTGAAAGAATCATCAGCAATATCAATAAAATCAGGGCATGAAAAGTATATTTCAATGCCTTCATTATGAAGTTGGAGAATGGTAAGAACAGCATCATTGCTTATCAAGTTACCCAATACCGTCACGAACTTTTTATATTAAAACGAGATCGGTCGCGCCTTATCATCTCCTCACGTAGTGGCGCTTCGGTTTCAGTCTTACGGTGACAGTGATACGAGATTTTCGAGATATATCGAGATCGATTTCCTTTCTCCTTTTTATGATAGGCTGATAGGAAATCTCTACACTAAGAAAAATAGTATATTATGTTATCAGGCGATAAAAGTTTTATGACGAATGTGGCTTTATAATCCGAGCCGAAGGCGAGGATTATAATCCCATTCGCCAGAAAATACTTTTATCACCGTGTGACATACGATATTTTATGTTTATCGCGCCTAACGACATAAAAATTATTTTTGCCAAGTATCCATTTACTAGAGAGAACTATTTATTTTTCAATAACGCATTTCTTCAGTCGAGTCATTCCCAGACAAGCCTGATTAGGTTTCAATTATGATTATCATGTTGCTCTAGAGGATGACTATGTTACACATGACCTTGGATGAACTCCAATTCATTTTTCCTAAATTTCTTATTTTCCACGAGGACGAATTTCGATTAATTTTTCACTGTTGATAATTATTGAGGGAGTTCACTCAAGGTCATAACTAACATGATCATCTTCTAGAGCAATATAATTGTCATAATTGAAACCTAATGAAGATTGGCTGAGAATGACTCGACTGGAGAAATACGTTATTTAAAAAATAAATACTTCTCGCAAATAAATGGATACTTGGTCAAAATAATTTTTTTTCTCTGTGTCAGAAGAAAAACTCAGGTACCAGGCTATTATGTTGAATACTTATCTACATTGATTCATGGTCCCGACCATGTTCCGACAGAATCTGGGTTAAAGTCTGGTTAAGTCCTGAATAAACCCTGATTAAACCTGAGCTGAAGACGAATTCGAGTCTTAGAGGGTCTGAATATAGAATCATTTGACAACGAAATAATACGCAAAATTTTGATGACATTTCAATTGATAATACTATAACATGAAAAAATAGAAAAAAAGAATAGTGAAATAAGAATAAATAAAAAGAGAATCCATTCGGAAGCAAATTCCTAATTTATTAGCAATAACTGCTGAGCTCATTTATCGAAAAAAATGCAATTATCCACTTGTTTTCAATAAAGTAATAGTGTTCTTTTTTTGTTCTTCATCCTTTTCCCTCAAATAAACGTATTACGAGAATCTCCCGAAATTGAAACTGGAATAATCGCTATCAAATTCGTAAATCTTTATCAAATTATCATATATTAAGAAGGTATTATTCAAAATTAATCAGTTTGTGAGAAATATGTGTGTATAGCCAGAAATATTCCGAAAAAAAACTGAAATAAAAATCATTACCTGCTCTCAGGGCTCGTCAATTATAATTAACATGAAAATGAGTGATAAACCATCACAAACAGAAAAAAAAAGATGTCCTAATAAATAAAATTAGTATGACGTCGTTATTTATTTAATATTTAAATCAGTTCGAAATATTCAGTTAAATATTCAATTATTAGCCCTCAACAGCCTTACACTTGTACAGAGATTATTCACGCGTCTTCTAACACATTCATTCGAGTTTCTATCGTTAATATCATTGGATATTCGTCGCATTTACATAATCACACCGTTATAATCTTTACCAGAAATACAATGAAAAATACAAAAATACATCGATGGACCAAAGTTCTCATTAGTTCAATAAATACTTATAACAATGGCCCACAATCCCTACCCAAAAAATTCGTGATAATTCTTGGGAACTAAAATGACTAACCGTTTGGTTTGAGTGTCCTGAGCCAAGAGGGCCGAAATTCGGCAACTAAACGAGGTGTCAGCTATCCAACCGAGTGATCCTGCGCCTCCATTTCCATAAGTCTGAACTTTGTCGTGCTATTAAGCGAGATTATATCAAATTCACGGAATCATTACAATACCTTAAGGGGTCTCCTCAGTAATTTTCGCCACAAAACAACAATGTGCTAGCGAATTGAATATGTAATATAATAATCAAAAATGGTAAAAGGAAAATTGTAAAAAAAACTCTGAGTAGTTTTATCGTTTCATTCGTTTTCAATTAATCATTCGAATTTCTGCTTATACATGGGCCTTAAGAACGAAATTTTGTCCCTTATCCCTCACCCTGTTGACAATGTGCTAGCCAACAAAGGAAGCTATATTTATTTATATTAAACTCTCAAAAATAAGGGAATGAAGTCTCATCGAGTTTTGCCAGTAACTTGTTGAATAAATTAACGATAAAAATAATTGGCGTGATGTCCGTCACTATCCAACGTACGCCATGTTTGATGTTTCGTCTCTCTCGGAAATAACCTCACTAACTTAACCATTTTACGCTCCACTCACCCGCGCGCCTATCCCCGTTTTGCCCTACTGAGGAGACCCCTTAAGGCCCGGGTGGATTATCTTCCGAACGTTATCTCGATTGTTTTTGCATCTTCATAATGTAAAATATATCACAATTTCCATTAGATTTTACATCACGCAGAAGTCCCTAAAAATTATGATTGTGCAATCAAAAAAGTAGAAAAAAACCGGGACATTTTCAAAGAGCGTTTTTAACAAAGATTAAGAAATAAGTTCGAAAATATGTAACTTTAACTTATAGATGTGCCAACAAGATCCCTGAGCGGCCTGATCCTCAAGAACAACGTCCGGGCGCACTACCACAAGTTCGTCCCGGAGGTAACAACCTTTATAAAACAAGAATGTCTCCTAGCAGTGGGCGATCCCTCCCCAATGATCCGAGCAACCGTCGGTATTCTCATAACAACAATCGCCTCGAAAGGCGAGCTGACAACCTGGCCGGAGTTGCTCCCAGCGCTCTGTCAGATGCTGGACTCCCAGGACTACAACGTCTGCGAGGGAGCCTTCGGAGCCCTTCAAAAAATCTGCGAGGACTCCGCCGAGCTCCTGGACTCGGACGCCCTCAACCGTCCCCTGAACGTCCTCATCCCAAAGTTCCTCCAGTTCTTCAGACACACTAGCCCGAAGATTCGATCTCACGCGATAGCTTGCGTGAATCAATTCATAATCAGCAGAACCCAAGCACTGATGATCCACATCGACAGTTTCCTCGAGAATCTCTTCCATTTAGCTAACGACGACGACTCAGAGGTACGTAAGAACGTCTGCAGGGCCCTTGTGATGCTCCTGGAAGTCCGAATTGACAGACTGATTCCCCACATGCACAATATCATCGAGTACATGCTCCTGAGGACTCAGGACTCCGATGCAGGCGTCGCTTTGGAGGCCTGTGAGTTCTGGCTGTCCCTGGCTGAACAGGAGATATGCAACGAAGCACTGGCGCCTCACCTTCCTCGATTAATTCCAGTCCTCGTGGGGGGCATGAAGTACTCAGAAATCGACATCATCCTGCTGAAGGGAGACGTCGAGGAGGACGAGATGATTCCTGACAGGGAAGAAGACATTCGACCCAGGTTTCACAAATCGAAGACACATCACGCCCTTCATCCCTCCACCAAACATTCTGAGGAGAATGGAGGGTGTGACGATGATGCTGACGCTGAAGATGGCGGAGATGACGACTCCTCTTTGAGTGATTGGAACCTGAGGAAGTGCTCGGCTGCTGCACTCGATGTCCTCGCTGGTGTCTTCAGGGAGGATCTACTTCCAGTGTTGGTGCCAATCCTGAAGGAGACGTTGTTCCATCAGGACTGGGAGATCAAGGAGTCTGGGATCTTGGCATTGGGGGCTATTGCTGAAGGCTGCATGGACGGAATGATCCCTCATCTGTCTGAACTGATTCCTTATCTCATCGGATGTCTGAGTGATAAGAAGGCACTTGTGCGGGCCATCACTTGTTGGACACTGAGCAGGTACTCCCACTGGGTATGCGCCCAGCCTCATGACACCTACCTCAAGCCATTGATGACTGAATTGCTGAAACGAGTTTTGGATGGGAACAAGAGGGTCCAGGAGGCTGCTTGCTCAGCTTTTGCGACTCTTGAGGAAGAAGCTTGCACTGAACTCGTTCCCTACCTTGGGTTCATCTTGGAGACACTTGTCTTCGCTTTCGGCAAGTATCAGCACAAGAATCTTCTGATTCTTTATGATGCTATTGGCACTCTGGCGGAATCTGTGGGACATCATCTCAATAAACCTGATTATATCAACATCCTGATGCCTCCGTTGATCAACAAGTGGAATGTCTTGAAGGACGAGGACAAGGATCTTTTCCCTTTGCTTGAGTGCTTGTCGTCGGTTGCCACTGCTTTACAATCTGGATTTCTACCTTATTGTGAACCTGTCTACAGGAGGTGTGTCTCGCTCGTTGAGCAGACACTCAATCAGCATATAGCAAATACACAGAGTCCTGACCAGTTTGAGGCGCCTGATAAGGACTTTATGATTGTGGCACTTGATCTTCTGAGTGGGTTGGCTGAAGGGCTGGATGGACATATTGAGCGGTTGGTTATGAATAGTAATGTCATGCAGCTGCTGTACCAGTGCATGCAGGATCCCACTCCCGAGGTCAGGCAGAGCAGCTTCGCCTTGCTAGGGGATCTCACCAAGGCTTGTTTCCAACACGTTCTTCCATGTATACGTAAGGATTCATAATTTTCTTCATTGGGGTTACCGATTAATTGAAAGCTTTTTATTTGTGTCCTGGGGTAGAAGTCAGCCTCTGAGAATAATCCAAAAATTACATTTATATTTGTAATAAAACGATGCTTGTCATTTCTCTGTATTATAAAAATCCAAATCGACTTCTGGTGATAAAATTTGGTAGTCCAAATGAAGACTCCAATATTAAGGGTCACAGGGCTCATATTAAGGGTCACGAGGTCCTCAGTATACGACTTTTTCGATTTTCATTTTCGCTATAGATTTTCACAATCTAAACGCGTATTTTCAGTGAATTAGAAATTGGTGAAAGCCCTAGATGCATTTTATTCTCTATTTTTTCATTCAGAATTTTGTAATTTTCATTGGAAGTCTCTAGGAAATCTTCAGACAAGTTTGACAATACACTGAAGAAATCTGTAAAATAATTGAATGAATAATTTTTCCGGTCAACCTTTAACAAAGTGACTTGCCTATAACTATGCTCAAATATTTGTTACTTGTGTAATGAATTCATGAGAGGAATTGAGATAAATAACCAAAAGACATTTTCTTTCACAATTTTTTTTACTAAAAAATACCTTTATATTCTTTAGTTAAATACTGTATTGACTAATAATCTGGCTCTTTTATCGATTGGTTTCTGATGCTGCAGCTGATTTTATGCCGATCCTGGGACAGAATCTGAATCCATCGTTCATTTCTGTGTGTAACAATGCCTCCTGGGCTATAGGAGAAATTTCTATTAAATTAGGTGAGTGTTTTTTTTATCTCTCTTTATCTTTTATTGTTTATTGCTCAGATTAGGGATGGAACATTAGAAAAATTTTAATTTGCTCGATTATAATCTTTTAATTTATAATTTTCAAATTTTTAAACATAAATTATTGTTTTTTTACATTTGCGGATTTTGAAGCAACAAAAAATCTTTCAATATGGAATAGGAGTGGTATTTGGTGTTGATTAAATTTCCTGATCCAGTATTGAACTCGTGAACTAACATGAATCGTGGAATTGCCATTCCACAGGGCTGAACTTTGCAAACTCAATCAATGAATGTCGTTTGACGATTGGCTTCACTATTATGCAAATAGGTTCCGTTATTGCGGTCAATTTTTATTGTGATGTCACTTTCTCAATGCCAATCAATAAACTCATCAGAAGAATGAGATCAAGTCGCCTCCCTTGACACTTAGAGAACAATAACATTCATCTGTTTGCCATTAGTGCCGGATGTACGAAACATTCATTCAGGCTTGCAATGAAAACTTAACTGTCAGAAAATGTTTCCACGTGGCTATCCCCTCACAAAATCCCAACAGACAATTCAGAGATGATTAGATGTTCGAGGAATTTAAACCAAAAGGTGAAAAAACTATTTGAAACTTCAAAAGAGGACTGTGTTAATCAGCGGTCTAATAGTCACGAAATTATCACAAAATGTTCATGATTACTATAAGCTAGAATAAGAATACCAATGCCGATTAGATAATCCCTCAATTTTAAATAACACGGAAAATGCGGATGTCATGTACACTGGACACAAAGTGTTCAGCAATGGATATGAATTATATTCACTGCTTGTAACTAGCATGTGATATGAAATCCATAAATCCCCCGATCAAAATATGGATCCTTATTTCAGATTATCCTAAAGTTGCTGACATTGTGTGAAAGTTTTTTTCGAATCCCCTCCACATGTCATGATCTCCCATGGCTCTGTTGATATTTTTCCAAGTGGATAAACCAGTCAAAAAGACTTCATGACTATCATTTTGGAATTGCAGGATTTTCGACCAATGCCTAAAAACACTGGCAATTGTTGTTCATATGCCATAATAAACTATCAAAATTCCCCTATTCGATGCGACAGTATGCATCACGTACACAAAGTCAATGTTTACATAATTTTTTTTAATAAAAAAAAAAGTTGCAGTGACAAATTCTCTGTTTTCTCCCAAAAAACAAAATTTGAATTGTTGTTGCGCAAGTACAATTGAATGATTGATTTTCATTAACGTTTTCTCTCCATAGATTTTACGTCATACATTCAAAACTGTAAATAACTGTCCCGAAGAATGTAAAATAATAAAAAATAAAATAATAATAATAAGACTGCAAATGTGTGATCTGAAAGAAAATTTAATGATTGAGTCTTTAATGATTTTTGCACAGTTAACCGCACTTATGGATTGGTTTTAATCGTCTCACATAGAAATGGAATTATCAATTAATCTAGTATCACGATATACGAGTTATTTTTTTTTTCTCCTGATTTTCCCATGAAATTTATGAATGGAATGGCACAGCATGGACGTGTCCATTTAATTATTCCATGCAAAAATATGGAATTTCAGAACGATTCTCGCCTAGTTACATTTGATTTCAATTTATACATATTCATTAAACCCCTACTCATCTACTAATTGATCACGTGTCACGTAAACATAAAAAAATCACACCTAATTCATTTTATTCATAATTATACAAAAAAGTATGTGTGTTTAAATTTTACTTTCAAAAGTTGAGAAAAACAAATTCTCCCAAAACTTTTTTCTCACGTTACCTTAAAAATTTTTCGTTCAATATTTTACACTACTTAATTACTTCACTCCTTATTACTTCAAAATCCTATGAACTTTTTTCCTTTTTCTCTCAAAATTTCGGGAATTTTCTCCCCAATACGATTTTATCTCACTCTCTACTTCAAAATCTCGAAAAACTTTCTTCTCTCCCTCCCATTATTTTTAAAATTTTCTCCCCAATGGAAGACCTAGAAAAATTAATTCATACTTTTTTAAAATTTATTTTATCAACTGAAATACATTCGTTTATTTACGTTGTAATATTTTTGTGTTCACAGGACAAGACACAAGTTCATATATCCCCCTGATAATAACTCAGCTCATCGACATAATAAATCGTCCCAACACACCAAAAACCCTCCTGGAGAATACCGGTGAGTCTCAAAAAAATCTCAATACTTTACACTTATTATTTCGTGGTGCCATACACTCGCTGTTCACCCTGACTGAACGACCATGTACTTTTTTTTTAATTTTCAGTGAACTATGTATTAATTTTATTTACACAGCATTTCAACAGATATGTAATCTTATTTATTTACAAGGGAAAATTTTTTTCATTCATTTTTATTTGAAGAGGACATTTCATTTGAACAGCAAATAACGACAGATCTAGGAGAACAGGTGTACTCAGAGATAAATTCAATCCACTCTACCTGCGCTTTGTTTTTTATTCCGTGATCTGCGGATGCCTCCAGTATTTATACCAATTTATAATGTTATTAGTAATTATAATTTACCATCGTCATTTTTTTAAAATGTTTTTTAGTCAATTTACACTGTAAAAAATATATATGGATCATACGAATCAGTTTTTTCTATTATTTGAAAAATTCATCTAGAAAAAAACAAATTGATTAGTTGAATTGATTCGACGGAATACTCTGGATAGTTTAAAAGATGACAAAACTTATGATCCATATGAGAAAAAAAATTACAGTGTAATTAAGGATATCCAAGTACATTGACAATTTCTTTTATAAAAATTAATTGCAAAATTTGTAGTTCAATATAAGAACTTTCATTCAATTTTCATTTTACATTAGATTTTTGAACGTTGTAAAGTCACTACTTGATTTAATAATTGTTACAAAAATTTAGGAATTTACAATCGATTCCTTTTTTTCAAAATTTATTCTTTTAAATGAGAAATGACTTTATTTATATTTAAAAAAATTTCAGAAAATTGTGATAATGAAAAATGAATGAACCTGCTTGGATTACCTCGAAAATTATCATCATTAATAGGCTCGCACGCTGCTCCCTAACTTCTGATTTAATTTTCAGCAGCTACGATAGCACAAGTATTTGCCTAAATATCGGTATCCCAATACGTTTCATGTGTGTTTATTATTCACATTGTCTAATTTTTAATTGTTACCTAAATCAGTACAGAAAAAAATGAAAAATGAATTATTATGATAGATTGATTGAAGTGAGAAGATAAAAATATTGTTATAATTTTTTTAATTTAACATTATTATAAGCATATTGTATTTACCTGAGTTGATTGTTGGTTCGCTATCAGTTTGTCTTATTGTTTGTGTTTCCGGTCACTTCACTACACTTCACTTCACTTGTCTACCTTACTGAAAAACTGAAAAAAACCGCAAATAGCGATTACGATCGGTCGCCTAGGTTATGTGTGTCCCCAAGACGTCGCCCCCATGTTACAGCAGTTTGTCCGACAGTGGTGTGTAAATTTCTTTATTATTATATTCTATTAATTATATTTCTATTTTATTATTAGCACCTTTTATCATTACAATTATTTATTCATTCATTATCGAAGGCTTGGAGAATTTTAATTGTGCAGGCAGTCATCTTCATAATTAAAATTCAATTAATGATCCAACGAAATTAATTAATTTCTTAGGGATCTTTTTGATTGAGCACTGCCCTCTTAATCTCCAAGTCATTAAGTTGAGTTGTTCTATTCGTTTGAATTGGTTTTACTGGAATTTATTGGCAGAATATTTATTCAAAATTATTTGATTAACATGATTTGGTCTTAAAAAGTGGAAGACATATGTGTGCTTCATTATCATCTGTCATTTTACAACTTCATTAATAGAAAAAAAGGGAGGGTTCTTTGTTGGAGCGAAATATGAAGACTAGTTTAATTCAGAGATGACGTCAGTTTTTTTTTCATGAATATTGTGAAATTCCAAAGAAATAGTGAAATTTTCTTGTAGAATTTTTTTATAATTTGCCCTTTTCTCAATAAAAAAATTACTTTATGAAAATTTGTTTACTTTCCCTGAAGTTGGAAATATTTTATAAAAAACTGAAGAGGTAAATTCTCTCTGACGACTTGGCAATAAATATGAAAGCTGTCGTCTCATTCTGCTCCACCAAATACTTCTCACTAATATAATTTCATGAATCTTTCTCATTACTGTTGGATTCGATAGTAAGACGATGGCTACAGTCTCCCTATATCCATAAGTGACTAACAAATTGTGTTAGATGTAACTCAAGCAATAGCTTCTTCTTCAATTTAATAATTATATTGATATGTATGTTGGTTTTATCGAGCACTTTTAGTTACTTGTGACCCATTGTTTATTAATAGGTGCATATCGCTGAGAAATATTCGTGACAATGAGGAGAAAGATTCTGCATTCAGAGGCATGTGCCAGATGATTACTGTTAATCCAGCTGGTGTTGTTCCTGATTTTGTCTTCTTCTGTGATGCTGTTGCTTCTTGGGTAACTCCACGCGAGGATTTAAAGGATATGTTCCAAAAGGTAATTAAAAAACAACTTTCTCAGCTGAAAACGATTCGAGTCGAGGTTTTTTCATAATTTCTCTTTACTTTCCTCATCATCAATATAATTTAACATCTAATGATTAATTTCAGTTAATTGATTTCATCAATTAATGCATTCAGTTCTTTATTTTAATCAACTCATTTCAATTCAATTTATCATCAAATCAATTTATTTTCAATGTTTACAATTATGATTTTGTTTTGACTGATGGGTTTTCTATTCCCGTTTAGATTCTCCATGGCTTCAAGAATCAAGTAGGAGCTGAAAATTGGAAAAGATTCTCTGATCAATTTCCACCACAGCTGGGCGAACGACTTCATAATATGTACGGAGTCTGAAGGACCCCGCCTGATTTTAGTGAGTTGATTATTATTTATTAATTTATTGGCAGTACTGAAACGTTGAAAAATATGGAAAGTCTTGATTCTATTCTTTGAAAACATCGTGGAAGATGGCAATTTAAGGATATCCAAGTTCTTTGATTATTTTTTCTCCAGTGAAATGCTTTTCTACTTTTATAGTCGAACATCGGAACTTTCATTTGAGCCCCATTTGACTCTAAGTTTTCGGACATTTTACAACGATTTTATTATTTAAATTTCGCAGGTCTGAATTTAAATTTCGATATTGAACCGTTAGAAACCATTTTAAACATCAGAAAAAAAATTAGTTGAGTGTTGGAGAAAGATTGATTGAAATATTTTAAAAATGCAATTGTTAAAAATTACGAGTATTTTTTATAAATATAATTTCTTAACAATTAATTTTCCACTGTAAAAATCATTTACTCGGAATCGTAACAAATTTATTCATATTCATAATTTTTCCAGAAATGAATATCATGCTTAAAAAATAAGGTATCCGAAAGTTTAAACAATTTCAATTATTTATTTATAAACAACGAATGTTAAGAAAATGATAATTCTGTGCGAAATGTTATTTGAATGACGCTGAATATTTATGATTTTCTTCTTTGAATACGAGATTTTATTAAAAGTTTGAATAGAATTGGAATATTTTTCTCTGATTTTTTCGAAAAAAAAAATCATAAAATTAGTCAAAATTTCTCTGTGTACAAAATTCTCCAAAAAAATAGACAATATTCGTCATTAACCAATTTATTCATCTTTTCAGACGGCCACTTAATGGGGAAGGCCGATCGGGGATGGGCGGGGAATATAGAAAACGGGTGGACAGGGTGGGTGGGTGAAACCACGGCCTCTTCTCATCAAAATCATCGACGTAACGAGTTCGTCGTTGAATGTCAAAATACGTCATGGCCACCGGTGAATCCAGTGTCCAGCCCAAAATGGGGTGGGGGGGAGGGAAGGGGAAATTTGCGGAATGCCGGCCACAACAGTGGCTACAGCAGGGATCAGGGTGAGATAAAATATTGAGACAGAAAAAAAACGAACGCAAAAAGTTTAATTAAAAAAGGATAAAAATTATTCAATTTCTAATAGGGGGAGTCAACAACAGCAACTAATTATCAATAAAATGGCCGAGATAACGGGGTGGGATGGGGAGGGAGGGAGGGAGGGAGGGTATGACATAGAAAACATAAAAAAACTAAACTTTCGATTAAAATGAAAGAGGTAAATTTGAGGTATCATATCTCCTGCAATTGTACGATAACAACATAATATTTCGATAAAGCGATACCCAATGCTACACAATTGTAAACTATTCTTTTGTTTAGGCCTTCAGCGTTGTGTTGTGACGCTGATAACCTTGAGTTACACGAGAAAAAAAAAATCATTGATACACTTGATACTGAAAATACGGAAATTGAAGTTGTAACGAGAGTCGCCACTTGAAAGTAGCTAGTTATTCTTTTTTCCAGAGGATAAGCTTGTTTTTTAGGTCGCTAGTTAAAGCATAGATATCACGTTATAGAGTTCAACGTGCTGTGAAATGAATTTTTTTAGTCGAATATTGTAATAAATGAAATGAAAATTGCCTTTTTTATTTATCCGATAATCAAGGAAAGTATGAACGAATTTTTCAAGGTTTGCGATTGGGGAGATAATTCCAGAAATTATGAGAGAAAAAAAAAGTTCTTAGGATTTCAAAGTAATGAGAAGTGAAGTAATTAAATAGTGTAAAATATTGAACAAAAGATTTTTAAGGGAACGTGAGAAAAAAAATTGGGAGAATTTTTTTTTCTCAACTTTGAACGTAAAATTTAGGCACATACTTTTTTTATAATTATGAATACAATGAATTAGATGTGATTTTTTTTATGTTTACGTGACACGTGATCAATTATTAGATGAGTAGGGATTTAATTAATATGTATAAACTGAAATAAAATGTGACTAGATGAGAATCGTTATAAAATTCCATATTTTTGCATGAAATATTCAAATGGACACGTCCATGCAGTGCCATTCCGTTCATAAATTTCAAATGAAAATTCGAAGAAAAAAAACAACTCATATATTGTGATACTAGGTTACTCGATAATTCCATTTCTATGTGAAAAGATTAAAACCAATTGATAAGTGCGGTTAACTGTGCAAAAATCATTAAAGGCTCAATCATTAAATTTTCTTTCAGATCACACATTTGCAGTCTTATTATCATTATTTTCTTTTTTATTGTAATTTTACTTTTTTAGGAACAGTTATTCACAGGTTTGAATCTATGACGTGAAATCTATGGAGAAAACGTTAATGAAAATCGATCATTCAATTGTACTTGCGCAACAACGATTCAAATTTTGTTTTTTGAGAGAAAACAGAAAATTTGTCACTGTAACTTTTTTTTTATTAAAAAAAAATTATGAAAACTTTGACTTTGTGTACGTGATGCATACTGCCGCATCGAATAGGGGAATTTTCTGATTGTTTAGTATGGCATATGAACAACAATTGCCAGTGTTTTTTAGCTCTCCGAGGGGAGATTCTACTGAAATTAAAAAATCCTGCAATTCCAAAATGATAGTCATGAGATCTTTTTGATTGGCTTATCCACTTAGAAACATGTCAACAGAGCCATGGGAAATCATGACGTGTGGAGGGGATTCGAAAAAAAACGTGCAAGAACGATTTTCAACTTTAAATGAGCGCTCTGGTGTATCCGATAGACCAATAGCCCCGGAATTTTCACACAATGTCTGCAATTTCAGTGTAATCGGAAATAAGAATCCGTATTTTAATCGGGGAATGTATCGATTTCATGTCACGTGCTAATTACAAGTATTAAATATAATTCATATCCATTGCTGAACACTGCATGTCTGGTGTATGTGACATTCGAAATTTCCGGATTATTCGTATCGATATTGAGATCCTTATTTTAGTTTACGATGGAATCATGAACATTGTATGATAATTTCGTGACTAAACCGCTGTTGCCTTGCAGTGCTCTTTTGAAATTCAAATCGTTTTTCCAAATTCTGTTTTAAATTCCCCCAACATCTTGTGATCTCTAAAGAGTCAGTTGAAATTTTTTTTTGAGGCTAGTATTTTTATATTTTAGACATCTCTCCTCAATCAGCAAAGTAAATTAACCAAAATCCGTCAGTTACAAGAATTACTGACAACAGTTGTTTTCATTTTCAAAAACCATCAATTATCATAATTTAAAAGCGCGATGTGAAAATTTGACTCCAACTATTTAAAAAATTATAGTAAAACACGAAGGCTGATTGAGCCTCGAAGATCATTCTCCAACTTACGATTGAAATTCAACAAATTTTTGTTTTATTTTCTCTGTAACCATCCTATTACCGAAATGAGACGAGAGCTCAAGCAATAGAAAAGTCTCATTAGATTATTATCATCAAAATTGGAATAGAAAAAATGGCATGGAGACGTGAACGAGAGACTAATGAACGAAGAACATCCATCATCGAACAGAATATTTTTCTTTTTTTCAAAATTATAGAAACATTTCCCATGAAAATGATAACATTTTCTCTATAAAGTATCAAAGATTGAGGATGAAAAATCATGAAACAAAAAAATGAGAATTAATTCGCGTCTGCTCCTGACATAACCCACACATATGGTGATTGAATAATCACCAGGTTTATTCCTTCCTTCTGGCCCTTTTCTGCTCTGCCCGCACATATTTTGTGATATTAATATTTTTTATATTTCTGAGGGACTGGAGAGTTTCATGATATTGACAGAGTCATGTATTTTTCACTGAAAAAATGATTTTCATTGAGGAAATTCTATGGGAATTCATTCAAATTTACTGAGGATTGCTTCAGTGGCGTGTGATTACCGTTAGGATGAATATACGACGATTGGCTCCTATTATGTAAGTAGATTCAGTTTTTACGGTTAATTTTTATTATGATGTCACTTTCAATTATCAATTCCAATCAATAATCTCATCAGAAGAATGAGATCAAGTGCCAACCGTGAAACTTCGAGAACAATGATATTCTTCTGTTTGGTATCACTGTCTGATGTACGAAACATTCGTTCAGCATTGCAATGAAAATATAACTGTTAACAAAACAATCTCAGCCTCTCAATAGAGATCATTAGATATTGGAAGAATTCATAACAAAATGTGAAAAATGATTTGAAACTTCAAAAGCGAACTGCATGGCAGTCTGTGGAAATATTCTATTCCAGAAAATTCAAGTAAATTCTCCGGTTTTCTAGAAAATTCGAGAAAATTGTCAGGGGTTTTTCTAAATAATCTTGAATCCTTGTGAAGATTCGAATAAACATGAGGATTTTACATACTACAACAATTAAGGGAAAACTACTAGGAGCTTTAAAATTCGCGGACTATTGGAGTGAGATTTCTACTGCATATTGAATGGAGAAGGCGATGTGATTTCTCTACCGGGGAAAAATATTTGATTGGCGGTACTTTTTTTATTTGATAACTCTTAAACAAAGCGTCGGAGAAAAAAATGTTATTAGGGTTTTCGTCTCCAAATGAGCCTCTCGAACTACGCTCACGAGGATAATTTTTCATTTTGGGAAACCCAGTATGTGCTTCAAAGTGAATAATTAGTGTAAAAAAATTTGTTGTTTATTGTTCGTTTCCCCCGCCGGCGCCTGAAGTGTTAATAATGAAAGGGAAGGGCCTTCAATTTTTGAGCTGCAGAAGTTTTTTTATTCAAAATTTTCGAACGATTTTTGAAATTTTTCTAAATTTTCAAACGAACAATAAACAATTAATTTTTTGCCCTAATTATTCGTTTTCAGACATATATAATCGATCTTCAATGTATGAAAAATCTCACTCCAATAAATTTAAATTTAAAACTCATAGTCATTTCCCCTCAATGTAGAAAGTTATGGAAGATTCCTAAAGCTTCTAGAAAAGCCTAGAAATTGAGTTTTGGAAAGATGCAAGGGTGGGTTTTCTAAAAATCAAGACCGTAGGTCCACGTAAAATTACGACTGTATCAAAGATACTGGCACCTGCAGATTTTTATCGAATCTCCTTCACATATCATGGTCTCTAATAGGTTTGTTGATATTTTAACGAATTTTCTTTCTGTAGCGGTATATTGCACAGCCACACTTTAAATATTTCATGAACTTGCATTTGTAAATATCCGTTGATGTCATATCGCCGTCACGTTTATTGTAGTATAATTAATCAAAACCGATTAAGTGACAGAGCGATTGGGGAATTGGATTAATTACATCGAGCTGTACTATATTTTTTTAATAGATTAATATAATTAATCATGATATTTTTTCACTGTTGACATAACTTGCGATTTGAGTCTCACATCGATGAATTATTTCATCGAAGGAAATGCATAACTAGGTAATGGTTTTTTTGAAGATATAGCTCTTGAAATTTTCAAGCTCGAAGGTCTATTAACAAAGGTGAAATGAAAAATTTTCGAAAACAGATAACTGCTCAAAGGAAGAATAAACGTGGCTCGGTCTATTAATTGATTAATTGAAAACTCAAAGAGAGAATTCAATTGTGAAGTGATAAAACGAAATTAATTAATTCTGTTTTATTCCAATGTGTGTCCGGGATTTTTTTTCACAGTGAAATGAGAGCTAAAAAAAATTATGTCATCCTTACCTTTGAGAGAAATAGATTCGGTTAGTTTCACCACTTCACAACTGGAAAATCATGACGTGTACAGAAAATGAATGAATCAGAATGGTGACAAAATTACATTCAGAGATACTATTATGAGTTCTAAACGTCACGGATCACTGAAGTGAGGATCTCCCTGTGTTCCCCATGAACAGATCTACGCAAAGTCAGCAGGCCAAAAAAATCGATGCTGGAAATTTTCGTCTCAATTTTTTTCTGAAAAGATGGATTGGACCCAAATTTTGAAAAAAAAAATATTGGTAATTGAGGGATATGACGTTTGGAAAATTTCAAGTTTTTTTCAATGATTTTTGTTTGTTCCAAATTGGCCTGAATATCTCAGAGCATTTTATTGTATTAATAGTATATTGTGCCCCTAGGGAGTAAAAGTATTTTCTGACGAATGTGACGTTATAACCCGAGCCGAAGGTGAGGGTTATAATCACATGAGTCAGAAAATACTTT